TGTTGCCCCTGTTCTGTTTTATTTGGCTGTTCCTTTCCTCTTTTCTTTGCCTCTTCGCCTTTTGGCTCTGTGCAAGTGGGTCGATTTGACACACGGGGGTGGGGGCTCCCACCGGACGTGCGCCACGGCGTAGCCGTGGCGGGTTCCACTTGTTATTATTAATGATTGTAACAGCTTTTATTGGGTATGTGTTGCCATGGGGACAAATGAGTTTTCGGGGAGCTACTGTAATTACAAGTTTAGCTAGTGCAATACCTGTTGTGGGAGACACCATAGTGACTTGGTTATGGGGAGGCTTCTCAGTGGATAACGCAACCTTAGTGTGACCCGTTGACCTATAAATGCAGTCAATTTTGCAAATGGTTGTACGCAACAGCTTCTTGACCGATGCATCGACGATATCCCTGTCTACTTCGCAACTCATGCACGCGAAGTTATCACCTTTGACATTTCACACGATCAAATTCCATCGGCCGACACTTACCATTCACTATGCTTTCGGCGCCGAAGTTCTGTTGTACCACCTCCGCGCACTTCCATCCGGCGTGGCCACTTGTGCTTAAGGGGAGCAACAAGATCGTCCTTTGTTTCTCAAACCGTGGCAGCAACCATCTCTTCACCAAGGCATGCGTCTTCGGATCCTACATGCTTCGATTACTCGATGAGTTTGGTGATGTCCTCAAGCTGTCCACAGGTGTAGTCCCATATTGCCGCATCTCTCATGAGGTCATTCTTGAGGATGGTGTCGTTCCATCAAAGGTTTGCATCTATCGTATGAGCGCGAAGGAGATCATGGTGTTCCAACTCAGCGACTTGTTGGAGAAGGGTTGGATAGACCCTAGAAGCTCGCCTACGGTGCACAACTTTTCCCCGCCTTACGACAACCTCGGGCGCTTGGGGGCTGCAAAGTTTTTCTTCAAGTTGAACGTGAAGTTAGGCTACCATCAGATTTCGAACCCGCACGCAAGACCGCTACAAATCCACGTTCAAGAAGCAGTATGGGCATTTTGAGTGGGTAGTCATGCCTTTCGGCCTCGCCAATGCCCCAGCAGCGTTCCAAGCGGCGATGACCAACAACTTCCATTCGATGCTAGACCGGTTTGGTCTTGTCTACCTCGGCGACATCCTAGTCTATAGTTGGACGTTGGACAACCACCTTGAACACCTTCACCGCGTTTTGGAGACTCTTCACCGTGCCATGTACAAAGCCAACCACGACAAATGCGAGTTTGCACGTCAAGAGTTAGTAGTTGGGCCATTTTGTCACACCTGAAGGGATTAGCAAGTTATCGAACACGATTCAAGCCGTCCAAGAGTGGCCGGAACCCAAGAATGTCACGGACCCGAAAGTGCAGTTGAGGTCCTTCCTGATCGGGCAATGCAATTTAGCCCCTTCACCGATAAGTGAGCATAGCTTGGTACCTTTTGGACCTAGGAGGCATAGTCGGACCCCATGCTAACCAGAAATTGCAGCTCAGCACTCGTGGTCCTGCGCCCATTCAGGCAGGATTCTATTTTTCCTTGAGTTGCTGTTGCCGGGCCCACTCAGGCAGGCCCTACCTTCCCACTGATTTACTATTTTCTGGTGGGCCCATTCAGGCGGGTCCCTACTTTAACTTGATTTGTTGCTGTTTTCTGTCGGCCCCCAATTTCGAATTGCTGTTGCTGCCAGGGCCACTCAGGCGGGCCCCTACTTCAAGTTGCTGTTGCTGACAGGCCCACTCAGGCGAACCCCTGTTTTATGTTGCTGCTGCTGTTGCCGCACGGCCCATTCAGGCGGGCCCTTACTTTTCATCGAAACACTGGATACGGGAAAACGATGTAGAGGGAGGGCGGTTCTACAATGGATAGCTTATCTTCTTGCCCGTTATCTACTAGAAGGTGACTGACACGCCCCCTATATGTCCAAGGCGCAGAGAGCAGAGAGTATATGTCCAAGGAGCAGAGAGCAGAGAGCAGAGGATGTGGCTGGCCCCTCCAAGGGGAAATGGCCGGTTCAATACCTTGGGGTCCATTGGGGATGGATACGGTCATCTGGTTGGCTCTGAGTTCGCCATGCAGGTGTACCAAAAGAGGCCATATGACAATCGTTTCCTGGAAGCAATCTATGACTACATCAATTGCCAAGGGCGAATCGAGATCTTGTGAGGAGCTGTATCTCAGGAGTGTAGCGGATGAGGAGATGGCCAGGTCTATGGCCTACGTTTTGAAGATTGACCCAGCGGCTTCTTTGGATATTAGCTGTGGTCCCTGAGTCTAATGTAATCAAGGTTACCGAGCTGGATGAGGAGCGGCGAGGACCGGAGGTGGAATCTCGCACAGCCGATCTCACTTATGAGGGGATCCTCCTAGTGATCACGGACTGAGTTGGTTTTTTTTTTTTTTTTTTTTTTTTTTTTTTCACAAAAGCAAAACAGGCCCTTATGGTCCTGGCTCCATCCATTCTGGGGAGCAACAGTCTGGTTCCTATTCCCCCAGCAAGTCAAAATGAATACATCATGAACCCACTCACGTTTCCTTCTGTATGGCCGAAGGAACCCTGACCAGCATTGATCACTCCTATTAGGAGGACTGACTACCAGCTTGGCTTTCCCTGCAATCCCTCTCAGATTCCTCTGTGGGAATCTGCCAAGTAAACTTTTAAAACAAGGAGAACTGAGAAAGGCAACTGACTTGCTTCTCAAAAAATGTTGGTGTCTTGTGTGTCCTTATGTCGCCTGTGCGTCCTATGGACAGCCCGCAGCTTGCTATAGTGAGCTTCTCCACCTGGTTTCCGAGTCATGGCAATCTTTCCAGTGTATGTTGCCATCTCTTAGCTCTGCAACTTGTCCTCCCACCAGCCAAACATTGACAACTTGGAGAGGATAGTACACTGCCGATCTTCATCCTCGGGCAATGCCTGTTTCTTTTTTTTTTTTTTTTCCTTGCGCAGGGGCCATGCTAATCTTCTCTGTATCGTTCCAATTTTAACAGATGTGTCATCTGCATAAAATCACGGCCTGAATCAGTGCCCTGATTTCTGCCCAAACCAGATGTAATTCGACTTATGATTATTATGATTTCTCAGTACTTGTCCGTCCTGTGTCTGGTCATGGTCTTGTCTCTCTGTCTTTCATGTGTCTCTAGTCTTGTGAGTCACGATATGATTTATACTTCACTTGGCATCCAGGGACCCCTTGGCACAGGTGATAAAACCAAACACCTCGCTTTAATCCATGTCGCTGCCGGCAGGAGAGGATAATCCTATTCTACGCAACGACCCTGCTGAGAGTGGCTGAGGCTGGCCCGAACACACACACATCCTGCATTTACCTCACTTAGAAACCCTGTGTGACAGCCTGCCAGTCCACCAACCTTTTGCACTCAGCCTGGGGAGGACATCGAACCAAGTCTCGGAAGCCATGGGGCTGCAACACTGCAACCTGCAGTAGAGAGGACCACCATCACACTGGTCCATACAGCTTCAGCATCGGCAGGTAGGAAGGAGAGACATCTTCTTCCTCTCCTCTATTCTGATTCTTCCCACTGATCCTCTATAGCCATCAGTTTCTTCTTCTTCTTTTTCCGCGCGCGCGCGCGAGCGAGAGAGAGAGAGATTCCAGGCAGTGGCTATTTTGGGTGAGGTTGCACCCATTTTTTAACTCAACATGTTAGGGCAGCGGTTGTTGGGCTTTCGACAAGGAGGCTATTCTTTGACGACCTCGCGTCCGTTTCTTCGGTCTTCTCCCCTCTTCTTCTCCCTCGACAATTTTTTTTGCAGTTAGTAACTATGGTCTCTACTCTATGACTTGGTGGCAAGTTTGGTTAAAATGACCCTTGGATTTTGTTATAAATGGCATGGCAAGTTGTCTGAAAATTAAAGCCTCCGTTAACCGCCTCTCCTCTTTCCATCACCTCCATCGTCCATGGCTCATCCCCATGTGTGTGCAAGGAGGGTCCTCCTTTCACGTTTTCCCTCCCTCCTTGCCAGTTTGACATGTGTGATGATGTTGGCGTGTGTCGACTGTGTTGAGTCTGAATGCGACAAGTCGGGTAATATTAGTGAGTCTTCCGCTGTGCTACATTGCCTCTTCTTCCCAGATGCACATTGCTGGTTTACTGCTACCGTCTGTCTAGGTCCTGCTCATCACACTGGTGTTCCTTTGGTCATCACTCGTTTCCTGGGGAGCATCTCTCTCTCTCTCTCTCTCTCTCTCTCTCTCTCTCACACACACACACACACACACACACACACACACACACACACACACAGAGCCAGCTATGGTGTGCATGCACCTTCTATCTCCTAGCTATGGCTACTACTCTCAATCTCCTTATACTGCTGGTGCTGTCCTTCTCTCTGGCACTGGAAATAGTCCGTAGCAGTGCCTTAGCAATGGGCACAGCAGGAATGCACTTGACTGGGAAAACTACCATTTTTTTTTGTGTCGACCAGCCTAGCCTGCCTCCTCTTGGTCCGCATGAAGGGCCAAGATTCACCTGTCTGAGCGACTGAGACTCTGCTGCAGTGCTTGGTTGCGTGGACCCCGTACGCCCTGGATGCATCTTGAAAAACTTTCTGAGCCTTTGGACTAATATGTGATCTATGGCTGGGCCTGGTAGAGCCTGGCGGTCGACTTTCCTGAGGGCTCAGTTGACTCTTCCAGACCCAATAGTTTCGACCTCTAAGTTCTGGACTCTGAACATGCCCATAATACAGACCGACTTTTTGCCCCAAAGCTCCGACTTGGCCAAAGATACTACGCAAAAACTTAATGCATTACTGTTTTGACCCAGGAATTTTACAATAAAACAATTTCAGAGTTTAAACTTTGATGATGCAAACAAATAAAAGAGTAGGGAGTAACAGCAATGAAATCGAGCCAGATGATATGGTAGAATCAAAGATCGAAAGTAGTAGCATAGTACCACATCATACAGCAACGAACCAGCCTTAAAATCCCCAGTGAATGCATTTTCAAGCACTATGCAGCAGTCAGAAAGCGAGTGTCAGGTCCTACCTGTATTAGCGAGTCCTTGCCTTCATCATTCATATCGCACATCCAGTACCACGGGTTACTTTCTCCAAGGGCAGAGTCACAGACCCGCAAGTTGCCCAGGCGTGCATCAACACTGAAGGACGCTGGATAAACCTGTTTAGAAACCACATACATTCAGGCACCAGCCATGCAAGTGAGTGTGAAACAATGAGATCACACCTCTCACATCCCATTAAGAGATGCACATACTTTTGCCATCACACACTTCTGCAAAACTTAGCATCCTATTTTGGATAGTTGTTGGATTACAACCTCACCCAGCAGTCGTTGCTGACTCACTCCCCCTAGATTCATTCATTCTGTCTTGGTGAAGTCATAATGAAGCAAGCACCCAATGACACCACCATATCATTCCATGAGACTCCCAGCAGGAGCAGAGGTGAGAGAGCAATAATCACCCCATTGAAGTTGATTGAACGACAGTAATAACGACACTGAATTACCTGGGACCTGTCACCTGTGGACATGAATCGAAGCTGCCATCTAGCTCAGTTGGTAAAGCACCAGCAGTGAATGCACTTGGTGGTATCGGATTGCAGGTTGGAATCTTCTGACATTCAATTCAATAGTGCAAGCAGACGGACCGGATGAGCGTCCGGTCCGGTCTGCTTTGCCGTGTGCGGCACCCTCCCCCCGGACCAGACGGACCCGGACCGGACTGGACGGGGCCAATTTTTTTATTTTTTTTTTGGGTGGTGCGTAACTGGTCGTCGGGCGCACATTCGTGTGCCGCGCGGGTCCGGTCCGGCGGTCTGCCGCACATGCGGAACCGCCCGGACGGCGTCCGCTTGCAAGTATGGCACAAATGCTTCGATTTGCACAAGGCTGGGGCGCGCATTTGCACACTCGTTGCTGCATGCTGAGGTTCATTGAAGGGATACCCCCGGTTTCAGCATATGGTTTGCCCTTGGGGTATGGGATATACTTTCTGTTGGGGGTAGGGCGAGGGGTACGGACGTGCAGCCGGTACTGGGGTGGTTCTTGTGTGTAACAGGATTCCATGGTGGGCTTTGTTAGCGTCTTCGGGGTGGGATCTCTGGATGAGGGGTGAGTGTCGACCCTCAGCATGGCATTTAGGGAGTTCAAGTCATGATGGTTGGGAATGAGACCCCTCGATAGCTATGGGGCCGCCATTGTGGTGATCCGCAAGGAAGATAGGGATGGTTAGATAGTAAATTCCCGCTAGCATGTGTGCGCACGGTGGTAATCCATGCTAGAGAGAAAACTTGGCGAGACACGTCGAGAGGCTGTGAGGACCACTTGTAGCCGCATGGAGGTAGGCTACACCTGACAGCGCAGAGAATGAACTGAGGGATTTACCAAGTAGAAAAATCATGAAACAAAAATATTGGAAGCATGCAACCATTTCGACCGCGAGCACGCCACCCAAAGGTACGCCGAAACCGACGCACCTTTGCTCTATATCCGCATTCARATCGGAAAGGCAACCTGTAATGCCTTGATTGATTGCGGAGCGTCTCGCAACTTCATGAGTCAAGCCTTTATGGCCCGCGCAGGTCTTGGCCCGCGCGTTCGAAGAAAGACGCAAC